GGGATTATATATGGGACGATTATAGGGCGTAATAAGGGGGATATGAGGAGTTTAGATTTTGGTTCATATGGGATTTGTAGACGTATTCAGAGCAGGCAATTGGGGGAATTTTGGTAACACCATCTCCTGTAGTATTGACCTTATATCATGAGAGTCAAATGATAGTTGTATAGGCAAACAGGTTCCTTACTCAGGGGTTGGGCTTATCAAAGGTCAGCCCCTAAACCCCAAACCCCAAACCCTAAACCCCAGACTTCAAGCTACAACCTTATAGGGTTCAGGGTTTAGGGCTTCTGCAATCGTCTCTAAAGCTGCAACCCTAAACCTTTGACCCCAAATAATCACCAACCCTAAATCCTAAATCTGAGACGGAAACCACCAACCCTAGGGTTTAGGGGTTTAGGGGTTTAGAGTTTAGGGACTAAACCCTAAACCCTAACCCCTAAACTCTAAACCCTAAACCCTCAACTCCAAACCCTGATCTCTCTGAAGTGCACAAATTTCTGAGGGAGAGAAGGAGACCAAAGCTAACGAGCGCAAGGGATGCGAGTTGCTGGGGTCTGCTTGATTTAGGGTTTAGGGTTTAGGGCTTAGGGTTTAGGGTTTATGGCTTAGGGTGTAGGGATTTCAATGTACTATAGCATTTACTCCTGAAAGAGAGAGTTTAGGGGTTTCAATGTACTACAGCATTCACTCCTGAAGAGTGATTTTTAGGGTAGGCCCTAGGGTGTAGGGATGTGAATGTGCTATAGCATTCACTCCTGAAAGGGTGACATATTGGGTTTGGGGTTTAAGGTCTACACTCCTGAAGCGGGGGTATACAGGGGATTATATGGTGGAGTATTGTAGGGGTTATTAAGGGGGATGCTAGGAGTTTAGACTAGAATTTCTGAGCCAGGTTAAACACTGTCTAAGCCCTCTTGACCCTCCAAGTGCATTCTACTTGACAGATTTCTTTGATTGTCTGTAGTCAAGAATGGAGAATGACATGGAAAAGAAAACCGAGCATGACATGGAGACAAGGATCCTACAGTGCCTCATAGGGTTGAAGAATGTTGGGGGGAGGGGAGCGCTGTATCATCCCGTGCTTGAAGGCTCAGGGGGTAAGCAGATGCTAGATGGGGTTGCAGGCTAATCGGGGTTGGCCTGCGTGTAGCCCCACTTACTAAATCCCCTGAACCTCTAAGAATGCTATTTGAATCGTCGGTGGGACGTAGTGAGTATATAGCCCCCCTTAAGTAGATGAAATATGGGGTATATGGGAATATTTTAAAATACCCAAGGCCACATTGTATCTACTTAAGGGCCCAGAACCCCTGGCAGACATGCAGTAGGCCCGGCCATCCCCATTTTAACCCATGTATATACTTAGTGCACCTGATTAACCCTCCAAGTACCCTGGGTAGGGCGAAGCGACAAACCTTTAGCGTAACTGCTGAAGGTAAGCTCCTAGCAGCCCTACATCCTCCCGAAGCAATTCCTTAGTCAGATCCATGCCATGCCTATACGAACTATAGTCTAAACTCCTTAAAAGGGTTACTTGGAAATCTGTGTGGGCGAAGTATCACAGGTGTTATTAAGCTGTATACCAGATCTTTAGACTATAGCTCACATAGACAAAATCAGCTTCATATGTACGAACTTGGTACGCGACATATGCGTGTTTGCATCCCTGCAAAAGAAGTTTCTGCAGCAAACATGGTTAGAACCTGCGCAGCGAGAGAAAAAAATAACACATGCAGACTCGGCAAGAGTGGATGCAAGTAGGAAATTCACAAAACACCGTTCATTGCCGGTGCTTGAGGAAGAACGGGGGAGTGGATCCTTAGAAGAACACCACTGTAATCCCCATATGATAATATCTACCCCTACAAGATTCTCTTAATTCACTCTGCCACTCCCCCTTAAGCACCAGTACGGTTCCGTCCGTTAGATATGCCGGTGCACCTCGCATTGCTTTAGTCCATACCCTGTAGCTCCTTTACCCTAAACCCTAAACCCTAAACAGAAACCTGAATGTCTTGGAGCATCATCCTGGTAGCTTCTTTAAACTTGAGCCCTAAACTGAAAAACCCTAAAGCTTAAACTCAACCCTAAACCGTATGGGCCACCCCAATGCTTCAGCCTCATAACTCGGGCTTCTGCAGTTCATCACCCTGACAGAACTTTTACATCCTGCTCAATCCCTGCTTCAGTTTACGAGGTCCTTTGGGGGTTTAGGGTTTACGGTTTAGGGTGCCAAACCCTCGATCCTAAACCCTGAACCCTTGACCCCAGTTTCTAAGCCCCCAACACGAAGCGCCAAATCTTCAACCCTAAGCGTTTAACCCTAAAGACTGGACCCTAAGTTTAACCCTAAAGACTGGACCCTAAACGCAAAACCTTTAACACTAAGCTATGCACCCTGAACCCTCAATCCAAAACCCCAAGGCTCTACATATTCTTTGTGTGCGAATCTCTCCCCTACACATCCCCCAAAATTTTCCCATCAGGAGGTGTAACCATTATGTGACAGGAACCGCTAGACCCTAAACCCTAAACCTGCTACAATGTCCAGGTTCTTCGGTGCGCCGCTTCATCTGGTGGTCTGCGCCCCAAAGGGGCCGTGCCTGGAGGAGAGTCCGCCGGTGGACGGCGTGCTCCTTGGATAAAGTTTTAGGGCTTGATGTTCAGGCTTTTTTTGGGATTGAAGCCCGCGCAAGTTTAGGGTAGTTTCAGAAGGCAGCTGTTTGGTTGGCTGTGCTTGGTGCTTTGGTCGTGAGTGATTTGCATAAGTTTAGGGCTTAGGGTTTGGGAACAATTCAAATCATGTATGGTCGCTGTCTGCCGCGCGGCGGGAGCGGCGAGATTCCGGCCACGCTCCTTCTTACAGCGTCGCCATTTTCCCAATTGTGGTTGGCCTCCGGCTGCTTTCCCAGGGAGCATCCGCTCAAACAGAACAGTAACTGGTCTTGGCCTGCTCCCCCACAACCTTGGTACAATTCTCGGTTTGTGTGCGTCATGCTGGCGAAGGCGCCATACAGATGTTGTGTTCCAATTTTGTTGTATGCCTGGTGGGGCAGCCTCTTTACGCCTTCGTTAGTCTGGCGGAGGTTACTTTGGCAGCGGTCGAATATGCTGAAGCGCAGTTGCGTGTTCTGGCTATTCCTTCCAATTCCGAACATGGGTTTACACACCTGTTACGGCCTGGGAGCTCATCCAAGAGGTTTCATCATCGAGTCTTGGCATCAGGATGGTGCCGTCTCCCCCATGATTCCATTCCGGGATATGAGGCAGTGTTGCACTGTAGAATCCCTATAGTTTCCATTTTCTTTTCCATTATCCCAATGATATATATGTATATATAACCCCTGTACAATGGGTGTTACAAGATGGCGATAGCCGGCATGACTCAACCCCAGCCACGCAGCTTCACATCTGAGCAAGATCTCACGCAAGCGGCCTTGTGGCAGGTCACCTGCCATACGACCCGCAGGCGTGTGATTGTTCTGTCCAATTCAAATAACATTATTACTACTATTTTTAATTGTGATTATTACTAGTGTTTTTACTATGATTATTACTAGTATTATCACTGTTCTTATAGTATTATGGTTATTCTTATTATTACTAAGCACTCCACTCCTGCGATGCACGGCCACTTGATTCACTCCTGCTTAGGCCAGCTTTCAATTTGCTGGGTTGCTGTTGGGGAACTTATAGTCCCCCTTAAGTAGATAGAATGTAGGGTTTAGGGTTTAGGGTTCAGGGTTTAGGATTTATAGTCTCCCGTAAGTAGATAGAACATGGGGTATATGGGGATATTGTTATAATATACCCAAAGCCATAAATATTGTATCTACTTAAGGGGGACTATAAGTTCATGTACCATCATACTGACACCTCTCTATATGCCATATTACGCCCAATGTCCATTTGATTTTCCATTTTCTTTGTCATTTGATTCTCCATTGTTTGGGTAACAGTTTGGCGAGACCGTAACAGCAATCAGTTTGGTGCCCGCGGCCACCGCGCAAAACCTAACTTTGGTCAGAAAAGTCAATCTGTAGACTAATCCCGTCGGAACTTCAGTTCAAAGATGTTGAGGCTCAATTGCATTGCATACAATATCTATAGCCTCCAAGCGCTCAATGTGAATCTTTAAATGCGAGCCTCACTCAGAAGGCTGGGGGGTGGCATGGATACGTTCAGGCCATATAGCAACCAAGGTTATCTGCGTCATGGACCTACTGTCCAAGCCCCCGGACAATAGACCCTAAACCCTGAACCCTAAACCCTAAAACTTAAGACCTTATGAGCCCTAAACCCTAAACCTTAAGACCTTATGAACCCTAAACCCTAGACCTTAAGACCTTAAGCACGTCAATCTCCAAACCAGGTTCCTGGACATGGGCTCGGCCATGACGGCGATGTCGTTTTCAGCCTTCGACCAGGGGCTGGGTGTCCACCCGCAGCTTGAGTCGGGTTGGGGGTTTAGGGTTCAGGGTTTAGGGTTAAGGGTTTAGGGTTAAGGGTTTAGGGTTAAGGGTGTATGGTTAAGGGGTTAGGCTTAAGGGGTTAGGGTTAACTGGTTAAGAGGTTAGCGGTTCAGGGATCAGGAGTTAGGACGGTTAGGGGTTAGGGTTTAGGGGATTAGGGGAGTAGGGATTGGGTTTGAAGGGTGAGAGTTGGAGGAGTTTGTTTAGGAGCATTGTCCTGGGTGCAGGGCGTTAGGGTCAGCGCTTTAAACTGTCTAGTTAAGGGTTTGGAAGATATCTCAGCATAATGTAGGGCTTTGGGCTTCAGGATTAGGACGGGAGAGGTACTAGATTGCAGAAAAAAAAACGAATTTGGGGTCCATTCGTGGGTTGCATTTTCTAGTCTTTGAGACAGTGTCGTGACCTTTCGGACTTGTATAAGAACATGGCCAGTCGTCGCGGTGCGGCCCGGGATGTAGGGAGCCATTTCCAGGTGACGCCTTGCACTTTTTTGTGAGTCGTGGGCTCTGACATTCAAGGCAGTTCTCCTTGGCGAAGTATCATGAAGTCTACAAGGAGGTCTTGAAGGAGCTGCTGGCGTCATAGACTCATACTATTGACATTAGAAATCCTGCGTGACCTTAGTAAGAGTACTCTACCACCCTAGTAAGTGTACTCTACCACCATAATTCCCATGGTATCAGGTACTTGCAGAAGATTTAAACCCCAAACCCTAAGCTCTAAAGCCTAAAGCCTAAACCCTAAGCCCCAAACCCTAAACCGTAAAGGATTTGTTTTATCCACTGTAGAGGGGTACTTGAGGACGTGCCAAGGGGAGGCGGGGCTTTGAAGAGTTTTCAAAAGCATGTGGGTAGTACTCCTATAAACTCCCTATATAGTAGCGTAATTATGTAAGGAGTTTAGGGTTTAGGGTTCAGGGTTTAGGAAATTTAGGACCGTAATCGTGGTAATAATGCCATTAATCCCCTATATAGCCACAGTTTCCATTTCGTTTTCCAGTCGCTCTTCCATTGGTTCTCATCATTAGCGGATGAGCCTTATAGCGTCGTTACATTGTATTGAGTGCGCGCTAACCCTGAACCCTAAACCCAAGTTGGGCTCCGTGTTTTGGACACTGGAGCTTGAGGCCGTGATGAAACCTCAGACAACACTTGGATATTCGTTGGAAAAATATTTTTTCACCATAATCCCTACAAGTCCTTATAAAGCCATACAAGATGTTTTTTTCTAGGGCCCCTAAAGTCTATCCCAGAGACTTGGGGGGTGGGTGGTGCAGAATCCTAAACCCTAAACTCTACCTAGAAATTAAACCCTTAACCCCAAACCCTACCTAAACCCTAAACCCTAATGTGCAGAAAATCTCTTCAGGTCTAGGGGATTGAGGGTTTAGGGGTCTAAAGGGTTGAGGGGTTTTGGTTTCCACTAGATGGCATCGCACCTTGGATTCAAGAAGTTCCGTTTCCCCTTTTACCTTTTTTTGCTCCTACGTGGAGGGTCAGGCGGACTTAGTAAGTAGGTCAATAACCCCTATAACCCATATAGTATCCCTAGCTACCCAAGTGATTAACCTACTTACTAAGTTCCCATGACCCTCAACCCTACAAACCCTACAAACCCTAAACCCTAACCTTTCAAAAAAAAAACGCTAACCTTCTTACTAGCCCTAGCCTTCTTACTAAGTCCCCATGACCCTCCAAGTAGGTTCATTTCATTCCTTTCCAATCCTGACCTTTGGCATGCTGCTGGCTTCGGGTTGTTCAGAGTTTGTTTTTTTGGGGATAGGGGTTAGGGTTTAGGGTTTAGGATTTAAGATTTAGGGTTTAGAGTTTAGGGCTTCGGGTTTAGGATTTCTAGCCGGTTGGTGACTCGATAAATGTATGCATTTAGGGCAGGGGTGCGTTAGCTGTTGATTGAGGGCATCTTCATTGCAATTATTTTGCGAAAGCATCGCGGGTTCCATGGCATGGGAGGCCTCGACAGAGATGCCATCATATTATTCTCCTTACTCAGGATTACCGTAGGTATTCGTGCAAAAAGGGGACCAATTTGTGTTTGAACCCCCAAACCCCGTCTATACCCCTGTACAACGCGTGTAAACCACATAAACGGGTCCCTAAGTGCAGTTCTTGGACGCCCCCCCACTTATTTATTCAAAAGCTTCCTGGGGCTCTGTGTTGTAGGCTTTAGGCTTGAGGGTTTGGAGTTTAAGGTTTTGGGACCCTCAACCCTAAACCCCCAACCCTAAACCGTAGGGTTTAGGGTGGACCGCAGGAGAAGCTGCCCGAGGACTACTTCGTCATTTGCGGCCTCAGCGTGGGTTATCTGGAGAACGACCAGGCAGCTCCTAAACCCTAACGGTTTCAGGTGTAGGGTTTAAGTTTTATCGCGCAAGGTTTAGGACCCAAGCCTTAAGGTTTACGGTGTAATAAGGTTTAGGGTTTAATGTGTATGGTTTATGGTGAAGCAGAGTAACCCTAAATCTCACAAGTGCCCTACATCTTGAAACCCTAAGCCCTTAAACCCTGAACTTCTTAACCCTAAGCCCCAGGACTTTGAAACCCTTAAGTTTAAAACCGTGAACCCTGAATCCCCAAAACTCTATCTTCAGACTTGCGCTTTAGGTTTTATCATGGGTTCCTCTACTACCCCCCTAGGTTCCCCCTTAGTTAAACTTAAGTAAGCCTAATTACCTAAATGACTTGAATTTAGGGGGAACCCACGGGGGATAGTGGGGGAACCCACTATTTTAGGGTGTGTTTAGGGCTTAGGATCCGTGGCCAGGATCCACGCAAGACCCCGGGCTTCATGCCAACGAAGCTCGGCGTGGATGATACCACGAGGCATCGTTGGGGTTTAGTGTTTAGGGTTACCGTTGATACTACAAATCCTACAGGGCTTTAGTATATCTGTATAAATATATACTTTATCGCCATAACTCCCAGGTATGAGGTACTTAGGATCATGCAGGATTTGTAGTATCCACTGTGGGGTTAATCTATTGCTTCAGTGCTCTCGTTAGTTATGTTTGTGGTTGGTCCTTGTCTGGGTAGTAAGGATGTTGCAGTTACAACAACTTTCATTATCATTGATGTCATTGTTATTATTGTTGCCGTGGTTTTGCTGAGTTTCGGATTGAGGTATGGGACTTGGGGAGGCATGGGACTTGGGGTTTAGGGCTTGGGTTTCGAAATGGTGCTCTCGGCGGGCGTATTCCTGACTCCTTAGGAAACTAGGTGAGTGTATGTGCTGGTTGGACCATAACTACATTCCACATGGCTACAGGTTTTGGTGTTTTCTCCTTTTACTGGGTACTTCCATGATAGTCTCAGATGTAGACCGCGGATATTACTCAATTAGAATCCTCACTACTTGGATCCCCAAGAAACGAGCCGCACTTTCTCAAAAGACCGACATGCAGAACGTGGATCTTCAGGCTTTACCGCTCAAGATTTTCGAGTTGGAGAACGAGAGCTTGTGATTCAAATCTTTGTGATTTAAATCTTGTACCTAGACCCTAAAATATGAACGCGTTCAGAGGCTCATGGCGTAGATCTTTGGGTTTGGAGTGCGGGAATGAGGGGCCATACTATAGCTGGACAGAATCCAGCATGACTGTGTGCTCAAACCATGGCAAACATGGTAGCATAGAATGTTTCGGGGCTACGCAAGATTGATTGGGAAATCTAAAGCGACCTCACCCGACCTCACCCTAAATGGTGGTTAATATAATGTATAGTACCAAAATGGCCTTAAATTGGGACCCTAAACCCCAAACCAAATTACCCAGGATTGATCTGTAACGGGTTGAACGGCTTCAGAGGCAGGGGAAAGGGGCCAAGGGCTTCGTGGCTTTCTGCTTCGGATTTGGGGTCCGACCCTGGGCCTACGCCAAAAGCTCTTAAAACAACAGGCTTCAGGCCGGAACCCCACATCCTAAATCCTAAAGCTGCGCAAGCCAAAGGGTTGAGGGTTTAGGGTTTCCCTCCCCAAGACTTTGCTAAGCGGCTGATATAGAGTCCCAGCGCTAGGCTCCGGGAGATCTGCAACGGGGCCCCAAGCCAGGGAACCCCAACCATAAAGTAACCCCAGTTTTAGAAATTCTTAACCTACTTGCTAAGTCCCCATGACCCTCCAAGTAGACCCCAAACCCTAAACCCCATACACTAAACCTTACTTTCTAAACCCTAAACCCCGGACTTTAAACCTAAACGTTAAACCCTACACTCTAAGACTCCCCTGAGTTCCTCTAAGTCCCTTTGTAGCCTTCGAGGCCTGCTCCTAAAAACCCAATCCCCCTGACCCAGTACCTGAAGTCTGAGCCTCAACTTTAAGCGCTTGGGGTTTATAGGGTTTAGGGGATTGGCTTAGGGTTTATATGAACCATAGTCTAAACTCCTTACAGGGGTTTATACATGGAGTATTTTTTAGAGGATTGCTATAAAGGGCTAGTAAGAGGGATGCCCGGAGTTTAGACTATAGCTCATATAGGGCTTAGGCAGGGTTTAGGGTTAGCAATACGAACAGGAAATTAGTTACCAATATGAAAAGAAGACAAGAATAGTGATGATCACAACGGCCGGAACAGGTGGGTGAACTGCGATGCTGAGTGGCTGAAGACGTCTGGAGGCAATCTCTCCGTGGTTTTTTTGTTCTGTTTGATAATCCGGCTTGTGAAATGTAGACATTTCCTGGGTGGAAGATAGGGTTCGGATAAAGCTTTTGTACAATTGACCCTAAACCCTAAACCCTAACCCCCCTAAACCCTAGACCCTAAACCCTAAACCCTAGACCCCAACCCTTACAGTGCCAGTTTTCCTGGAGGAAAAGCCTCCACCATTGCAAGGGTCCCCGGTCGAGGTGCGGTTGAAGGCTTAGGGTTTAGGGGGTTAGGGTTTAGGGTTTAGGGTTCAGGGTTTAGTGTACAGGGTTTGGGGTTTAGGGTTGAGAGTGACCCGTAGATACTGTCAATGCAGAAGTCGGCTATAGTAGGCAGGACGCAGCCTTAAAGAGGCAAAGTGGTTTCATTCCCTAAACCCTAAGCCCCAAACCCTAAACCCCAAACCCTAAGCACCAAGCCGCAAACCCTGGAACCCAAGTCTTGACTTCTAAGCCCCTAAAGCCTGACCCTTAGAACCCAGAAACCCTTTTAACAGCGTATGATGAGAGTTTTGGGTCAAGCATAGCGGGCGAGGGTCTGAAGCAGTAACTTGCCAACGCTGTTTACATGTCTCATGATGACAGCTTCTTGAATGTTTGGGTTGATTGTTAGAAGGTCCGTAGAATAAGGGTTCCACCATTTTGCAATACAGATTGTGACCTTTTTTTCGGGGTGGAATACACATATCTGGCAATGGCTCGTGGAAAAACGTCTTTGCTGGCTTTGGCTGTGCTCTTTATTGGCGTTGTAGTCATCCGAAAGTCGCAGCATGCCTTCGCACAGGGCACTGCTCGGCAGTATCGCATGGCGCAAGGCACAGCTCACAAACCGGTGGCTGACCACGATGTTGTGTTGATGGCCGGTTTGACTGCATCAGAGAAGCGTCTTATGTCGCAGATGAGTGACGCATCGAGAGGCCAGAACTGGCAGCAGGTTGAGTCGCTTTGGTCGGGCTATTCAGGCCAGTCTTTTCCGGTTGCTTGTGCTGCCATGCAGGCTGCCATTAATTGCGAGCATTACAGGGACGCGGCCAAGATGCATCAGAAGCTGTGGGGCCGAAATCCCAGACCAAACTCAAGTGTTCCTTACACCTTGGGCATCAAGATTTTTGCCAAGCTTGGGCAGAATGAGACAGTGCAGTCGATTTGGACTGAGGCCATCAGCAGAGATCTAGTTGATGAGTTTGTTGCTGGAAGTCAGATTGATGCCAGTGCCGACTTTGGGAATGTAACTGCTGCTGCTGAAGCCTTGGAATACATGGTACGACAAAATTTCTCAATCGGGGCCGACCGGTTTTGCTCTGCCATCAATGCCTGCAAGAACTCTGATTATCTTCTGCGCCACAGAGCTGCCATGTTTTTATTCAAGCAGATGATCTCCCGAGGCCTTCAACCAGATGCGGCTGTGTTTGGTAGCCTCTTAGGGGCACACAGCGTCGCAAACTTGACCGACATCTTGGACGTCTGGCAGCTCATGAACAAGTATGGTGTTCGGCCCAACCAGATCGTGGCCGAAACGTGCTTGACTGCTATCCTTGGACGTTTTCAATCTGGCACGACCTTGGGAGTGAAAGGTCTCGTTTCGGAGCTGCAGAATCGCAGTGCGAAGCGTAGGGTAGCTGCTCGGGACGTGCTGGCTGCTGTGCTGCAGAGTACTAGGCTACTAGATGTTATTTTGGCTTGAGTCCCTTAGGTGACCGTAGGTACATGTCGGAGTAGACTAATGTAGACCCCTCATTAATAAACCACCCTCCTCATTAGGGATTATAATAGGGATCCTAATGCTAAGGCCCTCAAAAGGGGTGGGTTTACTAATCAGGGGTCTACATTAACCAATCGTCTCTAGGTCCAAACACTACTCAGTCTGAATGGCTTTGGCACCTAAAATTTTGAACATTTAGGTATCTGGATCCTTGGGAGGATGTGCTCTATGCATGTACGCGCATTAGTTCTAATTGTTATCCCAAGTACGGGGCTTGTTTTGGCTTAAGTTTGCAGAGTTTAGGCTTGACGGTTTCTGGTTGTTGTTTGCTGATCATCTTAGCAGTGTCTTTCCAATGGGCTTCTGAGCCAGAGAAGGTTGAGCTCAAGGATGCCAAGATTCCGGTCACTTACCTCTGCCAAAGTCTCGAGAAGGCTCTGAGGAGTTTTGACTCAAGCCGGAAAGAGTCCTACGGGTCCTACTGTAGGACTCCAGACACCAGCTGCTCGTGATCCTTCAGATGTGAAAGAGGAGGTTGTTCCTCCCCATCACTGGACTGCGCAGGAGTGAGATGAGTGCCTCTTCGTTTCCATGTTTTCATGGTATAGTGTGTAGGTGGGTATTGCAGATCACTCTTGCACCACCATGGACCGGAGCACTTTCTGCGTTTCTTTTGCCAGGGGTGGCTTGAACTGCCAGTGTGTTCGTCAATATGAGCTGGCAAGGGCCTGAAAATTGGACATAGTCGGGGATGGTCTTCCTTGAATAAACCTTAGAGTCAAAACTGTAAGCACCCGAATTACTTGCTGCACCACTGAATATGAGAAGGGTTCCATCTAGATTTGCGATGAACTAACAATTGTACGTATTGAAAACCAAAAAGTCTGCAGACGACTGGCGAGCGTTGCAGCTTCTTAATACCAAACGTTCGATATAACAGTAGAGCAGTTGTATGGGCAACCCAAACACTACACCAGGGACATCATGACAGCCACATGATAGTCCTCGTGTTTGTGTATTCTTGTGGCTGGTTTGTTCACAGCCCACTTATTACACAGAAGTTGCGTCAGACAGGGCAATTTCCACTTGGTGCCCTGAAGACGGACATTTTGAAGGTTGTCGGCAGGACACGATACAAGCAGTTGGGCCCCCTTTCCACGATTGGGCCTGCAATCCTGAACGCAAGCCCCTGGACCCCCTCAATCCTACAAGTCCCAGCCTTACCTTACTGGGGCGTACTAGGGAATATGGCAGATCATCTAGGGGCAATATACCAAGAACCAGTAAGTTGACGCTTTGGCCGAAAAGCCTTCAGCCTAAACTCCTAGTAGCCTCCTGACTAACCCCCATGATCGTCCCTATATGATCCTTCACATACCCCCCCCCCCCTAAAAGCAGTACCCTAATGCTCTATATACCCCGTCTCAGAGGAGTTTAGACTGTAGCTTGCATGGCTTCTCCGTACAACAGCTCCCAGACACCCCAAAACCCTGAACTGACCACTCCAAAAGCCTGAAACCCATAAAGCTAGCCTGCTGGGTTGCTGCTAAGGGATTTAAATTAAGTTACCATAATGGGTATATATAAGTTACCATAATGGGTATATAGGAATAGTGGAAAAGAAAATGGAAACTACTATTTAGGGTTTAGGGCTTAGAGTTCAAGTTACCATAATGGGTTTATATAGTAATTAACATGGTTTCCCCAATATAGTAACTTGAATTAAGTTGCTTAACAGCAACCCAGCCTGTAGGGCTTCGTTTGTAGGGTTTGTGTTGTAAGCCTAAAAACCCTAAACGTGTTTACCCAAAGTTCTCAGGTAGATTTCCCAAAGTCCCCCAATAGGACAAAGCCTCTAAGTAGCCTCTGGGTTCCCTTTGAAGTACCCTAAGGGTCCAAGGACCCAAATGGCTTCAGGGCCCAAATACCATTCATATTCTCGTATTTGGGCCAAAAAAAACCCTATTGTTTGGGTTCTTGGACCCTTAGGCGTACCTTCTACGTAAGTGTTTTTGTCAGGGTGTTTGTGCTATCTGGGGGTCCTCTAGGAATGTACCCCCTGATCCCTAAACCCTAAACCCTAAACCACGCCCAATAACCTGACCCGAAAAGGGCTGAGCCAGACTTAGCCTCTACGAGAGCATGCCCAAAATGGTTTAGGGTTTAGGGTTTAGGGTTTCTCAAGTCCAAAGGTTTGAGCTTAGGGCTCAGGGTGAAGGCTTAGGGCCTGAGTTTAAGGTTACGGGTTCCAGGAAGTTATAGTAAGCTTTGCCCCTCAGCGTTATGGTGTTGGGGGTTTAGGGGTCAGGAGATAACTGAGGCCTACTACTTGGAGGGCCAGAAGCGCGGTAAGTATGCTTAAAATCTCCAGAGGCCATGTAGTAACCCATTTATCCTGTACATATAAAGTCTTCCTGACCCTGCAAGCAGTGGCTTTCGCATACCAGGCAAAGGTGAACATTTGCAAGGCCTGTGCTTGTTGGACTTTATGCAGGTGCCTTGACTGGCAACAACGAGCACGGCCTCATGCACTTGGCTCCTGGGAAATAAATCCATCCTAGACCCTAGACTCTGAATTTGTGGGTTTATCTCAGGGCTGAACTTGTGTTGACAACTCAAGTTAGAGAGCCCTCGTCCTAACTTTGTAGCCGCATGCCGCCTTGAATGCGTCCCCCCACCCATAAGTATACGTATAATACCTATAAACCTGGTGCTAAGAGGTGCAAGGTTGCCTTCATATGCTGTAGCTCTCAATTTCCAATTTTCCCAGGACCTCAATACCATCCTGTTCTCATGAAGCATATGGTGAGTTTCTTACATGTATTAGTCCCTTACAAGGGTACATATTAGTAGCGGCCATCTGGTTTTTGAGGAGGGCACATGAGGTGCCTCTGTGAGACATGCCCATCTAGGAATTTCTCACGGCTATGCTGCCTCGCCGTTGCCGGAGCCAACCACTGATCCATTCCCCATTTTGTGGACCGGTCTCTAGTTGAACACTCAAAGAATGTCTGTACAACCCCTCATACACTCAGTGAATTGAAGAGATTCCCATGCTCGAACCCCATGAGAGTTTCTGAAACGAATCCTGTGGAATTGAAGGGGAACCCCAGAATCCTTTGCTGATCCCTGTATGAGCGACTGTCATTTTGCCGCTTGCCAAGGGACCGTTAAGTTAAGAGTGGACATCGTAGGAACCCGTGTCCATCAACTATATGGGACAAATTTACCGTAGCTCATATTTCCCCGGTTCCCACAGGGTACTTGGAAGGTCATGGGGTAGGCTAATAATTAGCATAACTGGGGTTACTACATGAGTTATAGGGTTTATGAATCTACTTACTAAGTCCCACTGACCCTAAACCCGAAACCTAAATCCTAAACCCTGAATCCTGAACCCTAAACCCAAAACCCCCACTCACTAAGTCCCCCTGACCCTCCAAATATGTTGAGGTCAAGTCTCGGCACTGCTCGCACACCCTTGATACGCCGCGGCCTGTCCCCTACGACTTCCTGGCATCCATTCTGCAGCTCTGCTAGATAGGGTTTAGGGTTTTGGGGTTTAGGGTTTAGGGGTTTAGGGTTTTGGGGTTTAGGGGTTTAGGGTTTAGGGGTTTAGGGTTCCCTCTCGTATGAAGTAGATAGAATATGGCCTTGGGTATAGTATAATGGGATCCCGCAAATACCCCATACTCTATCTACTTGAAAGGGACTATAGTCCCTGACAGAATTCCTAACAGGAATCCATGTCCATTAATTATCTGGGTAAGTTTGATTGTAGCTCATCTAACAATCCCAGTTATCCCCATTGCTAATCTACTTACTAATTTCCTCCTTGACCCCAAACCCCAAACCCTACACCCAACCCTGATCCTAAGCCCTCAGCCCTAAACAATAGTAGACCCCCTGATCGTCCAAACCTTCAACCTCTAATTCATGCATAATTGAAGTGTTAATGGCTTAGTTGGGCGAAGGTCATTTTCTTAGTGGGAAGGGTCATTTTCTTACTGGGCAAGGTCGTTTTGTTACTGGGCAAGGTCATGGGTAGTACCCCAGGGCCTTAGGCTAGAGGTTTAAGGTTCAAGCTGAATACGAGGGTTCAGGGCTTAGAGGTTAGGGTTCAGGGCTTCAGGGCATAGAGTTTAGGGTTCAGGGCTTCAGGGCATAGAGTTTAGGGTTCAGGGCTTCAGGGCTTGGAGTTTAGGGTTCAGGGCTTAGAGTTTAGGGCTCAGGGCTTCAGGGCTTAGATCTTAGGGTTCAGGACTTAGAGTTTCGGGTTCAAGATGTAGAGTTTGAGGTGTAGTTTTCTTGATGACGTGGGACCCAAAGGGCGGGTGGGTATTTTCCTGTTCTTGGATAGCACTGCTTAACAAGTGAATGCTTGGACTTGAGATGCTGAACCCTAAGCCCTAAACGCCTAAACCCTAAACCCTAATCTATAGCCTTGAAGCTCCTGCTGTGAGTATGCACTTTTGATTTTTTCTACATGAGCTATAGCCTAAACTCCTTAAAAGGGGGTTATATAGGGGATTCTATAGGGGGGTATTATAGGGCTTATTAAGGGGGAAACTTAGGAGTTTAGACTATGGCTCACATGGCATCCTAGTAGATGGGGTTTGAACCCAAGGAGTTTTGCTCTCGCAGGGGTGATTTGGAATCGGAACAGGCTAGTCTGCATGCCAGCATGAAGCCAAAGTCTAGCAACTGTAAATCATGGTTTAGGGTTTAGGGTTTAGGGTTTATGTACGGTCTGGCAGAAAGCCAATGGAGGAACAACACTGACAAATGCACATCGCCAAAAATCGGGCGATGCTTGCTAACTTAGCATTGGCACGTGGTTGCCGAAACGTAGCTGCTGAGAGCATGTGCATGCTGAAGGAAACTTCCGGTACTAATTGAGGTAAATTAAGGGGTCCCCAGTAATAATAGGGGCGCAAAAAGGAACACAGAGGCGCCTTTAACTTCAATCATCGCTTGTGGTCACTGCGGTGGCCTCTACAAACTCAGTATGATCCCGAGTACCTGTACGACCATGGCATACAAGGGTCATAGGGATTTCAGCATCATCAAAGGCGGCGTAAAGGAAGGTGGGGTGTATGAAAGAAGCCCAATATAGCGGATTATATATTAAGGGATCCTTTAGCCCACCTACCTTCATTCCACATTTTGAGCCCGCTGAAACCCTAAACCCTAGACCCCAAACCCTGAATCCTCAACCGTAAACCCTAAACAGCTGATCCGAAAACACTAAACCCTAAACCTCTAAACCCTAAATCTGTAACCCAAGTCGGGTACCCTTTCTTCCTTTCAGTAAACTTGCAGTTTAAACTAGCGCATCCCCAGCTCTTTAGGGCTCAGGGTTAAGATGTAAGGTTTAGGGTTTAGGGTTGAGGGTAGGATTATGGATGTAAACTGGGTCCATTTTCAGGGGGTATATAAGGGTTCTGTAGGCATATCGTAGGATTTAGGTTTCAGGCTTTCGGATGTAGGGTTTACGGGGCCAAGTAGATCTGAACTAGCGGGGTTGGGTCCAAATAGACAAGTGTGCAATGTAAGCAAAATGTGGATTGCAACAGGGTATTGTATTGTAGAAGCCTCAATATCATCAACATCTTCGTCAGAAGCCTAAGCCTGACATTTCGTATAGAGTATCCCGAAGCCCTATTCCAATAACGTACAGAGTCCTCTACATACAATCCCCATACTACCACTCCTACAACTCTAGCTTCCATTTCATCTTCCACGATAACCCCCTAAACCCTAAACCCTCAACCACCCTCAACCTTTATAACTTGGGATACATTCTGAAGCAGGTGGGTTTAGGTGTTCTGTCTAAAGCAGGTCGGAGCGACTGCAAGACGTAGTCACCAAGCTGGCCAATACCCAGACCACAGTGGAGGCGTGAGGGTTCGTAATAGGGTTTAGAGTTTACAGTCCCCCTTAAGTAGATAGAATATGGGGTATATGGAGATCTTATTATAATATACCCAAAGCCATGTTCTATCTACTTGAGGGGGACTAGAGCCCTAGGCACCCTTAGGATATCCAGGGGCTTTGAGCATCATAATTTTTGGCTTGAAAGGCTCTCATATGAGAAGGGATTCTGAAAGCAGCAATATTTGGAGCCGCGACCCCTTTCATCTCAAGTGGCTCTGCTTTGCGCAACTTGTCCCTAAACCCTTGAAAGGGTGTAGGGTTTAGGGCCCCAAATTTAACCCCTAGATGTTAAGTTTTAAGGCCTGAACCCTAATTAACCCTAAGCTTTTGACCCTTGGCCTATATGGAGCCGAAAACCCAAACTTTCCGAAAACTCATGAGGAATCCCGTGTAGGCGCATTCTACTCTAAGGGTCCAAGTACATAATAATCATATACTCACCCACAACCTATGTCATTGTTACTATTACCCCAATCAAACCCAAGTACCTAATTATTGGGTACTTGGACCCTAAACCCTAAATCCTAAAACCTTATCCTTAAACTCCAGATATACCCCTATATATCCCTTTAAAGGGGACCTAATTATTGGGTACTGAGACCCTCTGGGCTATGTGGAGTGTAGTCTCCCAGGGCTCATGTCGGGCCTCCATAGCTACCAAACCCCAAACCCTAAAGACCAAGCCATAAACCCCAAACCCTGAACCCTAAACCCTGAATCCTAAACCTCAAACCCTAAACCCCAATCTGTTTGAAGCCTTGTGGCTACGATATAACCAGGATCAAGTTAAGTGCAGCTCCAAGGAAGGAAGGGTTCACCTTTTTAGGGCTTCGGGCTTTCCATTTTAGAGCTTTCCATTGTAGGGTATAGGATTTAGAGTTTAGGGCTCTTTCTGGGGGGGGCTGGAAGGAACATGGAAACCACTATAATGGTTTGAGGGTTCAGGGTGCAGGGCGCTGAAGGGGGGGAGTATATATGGGTAGTGTAACAGGGGCATATGTTCGGATTACTTGGGGCATGTTGTGTGGATCTATTCTTCCACTCCTCCTCAAGCATCAGTAGTATTGGGGTTGTGGGGTCTTGCAAGGCGTCATCCTCTTTCAGGCTGTAGACGCTGTGGGCGGCCCTTCATTCCAACATTAGGCTCTGGCCAGCGGTGTAGGCACATATTTTAGTAGTGGGTACAGTTGAGAGTTGAAACTGTCTTGGGGCTTTGCAATGGGGTCAAAAGGCCTAGTCAGTAACACGTTCTGGATCGGAATCAGCATCGGTAAGGGCAATTATGGGCTGTGCATAAGTTTTCCGAATTGTAGACATGGGAATTCCCAGTCTTGTTGTGGCCTTGAATATTTCCCGACATAGAACCCCCAAACATTACCCTAATTTCTCTGGCGCCTACAATATCCTAAACAATATAATTCAATGAGGGGGTTTTGGTTGGCCCAATCCCTATAAAGAAACTACCCTATCACATGACCCCATTTTTGAGGGGTTGGCGAAGCCAAATTTTCCTTATGATCAAACCTAGACCCTGTACCCTAAGCCCTAAACGTTTAACCTTAAACTTTAGACCCTAGACTTTTAGAAGATTGTAGTCCCCCTTAAGTAGATAGAATATGGCCTTGGGTATATTACAACAAGATCCCCATATACCCCATATTCTATCTACTTAAGGGGGACTATAAACCCTGAACCCCAAATCCTAAATCCTATACCCTCAACAACACATCCTGTACCCTAATCCCCATACCCTAAACCCTAGACCCTGTTCTATCTACTTAAGGGGGACTATAGGCTTCAGTAACTGCGGAGAGCCCCGAGAATAGCCAGGAGAACGAAAAGGCTTCCCAGGAGTCGCAGCAGAAGCTCTCAGCAAACACGGACCGCGACTCGCCGGAAATGTGTTTTACTTACCGGGCAGTTAGTAGGGAATAAGGGAAGACGTGAGTGAGGCAGGGTTTAGGGTGTAGGGGTAATAGGGAATACGGGCATATATGTGTGTATATATATATATTACAGGGATGAAATAGGATCACAAACAGTCCCTTATTCCCTACTAAGAACCAGTAAGTTTAAAAACAATCCCTGATTCTCCCCAAATAGCCCAAGGTTGGTACGTTGGATGGGTTTAGGGATTTAGGGTTTAGGGTTTAGGGTTTAGGGGCCCAAAGTAAGCATCATTTATAAGCACAGAGCCCAAAGGTCATTCATTATCTAAAGCCGGTAAACCCGGGTGTTATTTGTAGAGTTGGATGACATGGGAATGGTTCAGGGTTCAAGGCTCCCGACTGACTCAGATTTAGGGTCTAGGGTTTAGGGAAATCGTATGGGGCTCGTGCCTGGTGTTTTGGAGTGGCCTTTGGACGACTTTTGTTTTTAACGATGTATAATTTCCATATAGCGGGTTTAGGGTTCAGGGTTGTAATACAACGCAATAAGCGGGGAGTATTGAATAGTAGGGGCTTGCGGTGAGGGTGTGCCAAACTTGTTGATTCATCTCCTGTGTTAGAGCAGAAGATGTTGGAATAGCCCAGCCCCTGTCATACCTGCATCATCATGGTATGATCCCGATTAGTTCAGACACACCCTG